TAGTTATTTATTTAATTTACTACTACATAAATTACTAAATAAATAATTACATCTCGTTAACGAAAATATTGGATTTATTAATAAAAATTTTAAAAATATAGTACAATCAATAATAATAATAAAAAAAACATTATACACTTAACAAAATTTTGGTGCAAAATGGTATTCATTTGCACCACTTTGGTGCAAATTATGGTGTTGGGTTGGAGAGGAATTTCACCAAATTTTTGGTGCAAAATAGGGAAAATGTTGAAATGGTGGAAGGGTTGAAGATACCCTAACTTCCACTCCTACTTTTCGTAGAAGAGTTTTATCATCTTGGACAAACTTCTTACATAAACTCTTTCTAACTAGAAATGTAATTCCAAAAAATTATTTAAATATGTTCAGATGTAATGTTTTAATTTCAGAATCAAACCGGCTCTAAATATCTGTCTTAATATATTCTTAATCACTGCCGTTCTGGGACATAATGCAAAATGATAAATAGGCGTAACAGCATCAGAAGTTACATAGAAACATGATGCCATATTAGTACCAATACCCTCAACATTATAGCTGCTGCTCAATAAAGTTTGCATATAGCTAATCAAGCAACAAATTTATAATATATATATATATATATATATTACCAGCATGGGTAGCTTATTTCAACAATAAGCAGTGCATTTCTTACAATCAATGGTGCACCCACCGCCACCGCCGCCACCGCCGTATCCCTTGCCGGATCTGTGGTATGAACTGAAACACTTAGCCGGACATATCAGTTTCTTCTTGTAACATGGGCCCTTTTCTTTGCACACCAGAGAGGACCTTATGATGCCACCTTTAGAGTACCCACCATTCGGACCCCCATATCCGGCTCCATACCCACCACCAATTCCATTTCCCCACCCACTTCCAAACCCGGGAATGTTGAACCCGCCTCCGGGTCCAAAGAATCCACCCACCCCACCGTCGTTTCCACTACCTTTCTTGTTATTGTTAAATTTTGGTTTGGATGATCCAGTTCCAGTGGGTTCGGGTTGGGTTGCAAAGGAAAGAGTAGCAGCGATGAGCAAGAAAGCTAAAAGGAAGGTGATTATAGATTTCATGTTGAAATTTGGTCTGAGAATCAGACAAGAGCAAGAGGAAATATTCAAGTAGAGATAGTGGGAAAAGGAGGTGTCAAAGGCCTTTAAGATGGATGGCAGTTGAGGGGCTTGGGATGCATTCATTGCACACGTGCAGAGTCTTTAATGGACATTTGATACACTTGATTCGACTCCACTTGCCTCGACTCAACATTTTAATATATATCTTTTTGTTTTAAATATTGTTCAATAATATCTAATTAAGAAGACTCTTTTTAGCATATAAATTGTCTAAATATAAAATGCTCTCTATTTTAGATAGTTAATTTTTAAAATTAAGCTCCGATAAATACTTAAAGTCGTACTACTTGATTGTAGATATATACTAATAATGCATTGAGAAATATTATATAAAATTATTTATGTTCAATTTAAAAATCCAAATTATTTTATTCCCTTGTGGGCTAAAGGGACCGCAAGCAGATATTTTATTCAATTATGCTGCTGTACACTCAATTTGATAGCCCACTCATGTGATGTAAGAGAGCTGTCAAAAATGATGTCAAAAATAACGTACTTGTAGCATAATTATATCTTTTTATTTTAGAGCATAAAAAGTGAGGTGATAGACCACTCTATTTTATGATGATGATAATGCACCAGTCGGAGTATTTATGATTTGAACGAATTTTACGAAGTGTACGTGTCATGGCGATTTAAAGATGCCTTTAGTGTGATCTACATTAGCAAGTGAAACGCGTGTTATTGATGATGGTGGGCACGTCATTAATTTAAGTAACTATCTTTCCTTAATTTGGAGGATAACACGCAATTGTTCCAATCGAACCACCATCTCCGACTCCAATTTACCCTTTTTGAAGAACATGAGTGATTTTCATGTATTTATTTAATGGTAAAATTAACAGAACGTGACGGAAAGAACAACTGTCACAAGAAAGGTATGAATGAGGGTGTAAATACCAAATTTGAAACGATAGGGACTATTTTAGCAATGAATGCAAAAGATAGGGACTTTTTGCTAATTAGCCATAGAAATACTATGCCTTCGTGATAAGTAGTGACATTTCGCTTTTAGAATAAAGCCAAAATATAAAGCGTTCGTTTTTAATAGAAAAATTTGCACTTTCCATTCTTAATCTTTGAAAAATGTGATAAATCTATCATCAACTTTATTTTAGCATAATCCATTTCGAAATTTTCAATTATATAACAAAACTCATCATTCTTTCCATTTCGACCATTAAATCATAGGTCGTGCTCTCCTCTTCAAGTAAATTAAAATCAAAGAAAACAATATAATAATAATATATAAGGAATGATTATAATTTTTCAAAAAATACTTTAAAAATTAAACATTTCATCATTTCAGACAAACTCACCACTCACCCGACCCCCCACTCAATACACCCCAACCATGGCGGAACATCACCATTACAAAAGCAACTACGCTAGCATTCAACATACCAAATATCCCTTGTAATTTTCTCTCTTACATCCATGTTTTTTCCATAAATTTAATTTCCATTAATTCAAGTATTTTCTATACAATACTTACTCGACATTTTAATTTAATTTATGACATAAAACTATATATTTAAATTTATTTTCTATTCTTAAAGTTTCTCGTAAAATAGAAAACAACATATTCTTTAAATCGTAAAATAGTATAAAATAATAACCTAAACTTAAAATAAACAAGAAATTTCTTTTAAGATACAAAATAATAATAATAATAATAATAATAATAATAATAATAATAATAATAATAATACCATATAGATATTTTTTTTTTCTAAAAAGAATGATTCATCGAACATAACTTATTTATTAAATGATGACAATTAATAATTTCTATTTGTCCATTTAATAATGCTGGAAAAATTTTAAATGAAATTCGACTGGTTTTTCCAACACAATATGAATTTATTAAAGTTTACTTCCTATAATTACAAGTTTTATTTTAAAGAAAATGAAGACGATAAATTTTGCATGCTTCAGAGTAAAATAACATCTTTTAAATGAAAAACATTTAAAACATCACAACCTTCTAAATTTTAAAAAATAATAGTAAAATTAGTAAACAATATGCAAAGTGCCGTATAAATTAATATATAAGATGTGATTTATTATTTTTAATTAAGGTTTTTGCCTGTAAAGCTATTTATAATGACAAATTTGTAAATATTTCTATTTTTTCTTGCAAAATATGTCTCTTTTGTTACCAACGAACAAATACAACATGCTAAATGTAGCCAAATATGGTATGTAAATTGTAGGCAGGGGCGTACTTGTAAATAAATTATTGAATCAGTCAGCACAGCAATATTCCGTGAGAAATCTTTATAACATTCGTTAAAATCATCTTTCATCAGATGAAAAGACTGGCTGTGCTAGATTATCCCGGTTATCTCTTACGACTTTTTCGTCGTCATCATCAAAAGTCCCAAAAAGGCAAACACCCTAATGCTATTGAACCTCATCTGGAACAGAAGCAAAAATGGCCCCAGATGGTACTGATCTAAGAATATGATAAGGCTATGGGTAGGAAATTCTTACAAAGACAAACCGACGGAACAGTCGGACAATGATTTTGCTAACTATGCAGAAATGCTAGGTATGTCATCAGCAGAAGCGGAGTCACAAGGTGGTCTGGATTCAACAGCAGGTGGGGTTGGTGGTTTCTCTACGGTGGGAGGATTTGATGGTCTCTTTGAATGTACTTGATTAACTTTCTCTGATGGAAAATCAAACTGCAATCAAAACAAGATGTAATACGTGAATAATGAATACATATATAAGATACATCCCTAAAATTAGCCTTTTCGCTTTAACTTGTGCAATGAAGCAATTACCATAATCTCCACAGTGCTGAGGCACGATATTATAATTCATTGATTCAAAAAATGCCCATTATATCTTAAACAACAGTGTTTTAATAATATAAAAATTCATAAGGTCATCATACAACCCAAACTTTCAACTGAAAAAGGTGTCGAAGCATGCCAGTGCAACTTCTGAAATGTCAAGCAGAGTCCATAATTTGGAAAAACTAAGAAATTTCCAAGAAGAATTTTCCTTTGAGCAATAGGAAAATAAGGGCCTTAAAGCAACCATCAAACTCGAGTATACCACAATACCAGAGATGACAAGATACAAAATGCAAAAAAGCACAAAATCAAGCACTTGCAGAATTCTCGCATTGCAGATTGCAAATTTCAAAGGACTCGCAGAAGTTATTCTCTCACAAGTTACAACGAAAATCAAGCACAAAATGCAAATATATGGACATTCTAATACAAAGTCAATAGAAGAACACTTGGTTTCCTTTCAAATTCTATTCCTGCTACTTGTTCAAGAAGACAATCTGAACTAATTCTCATTTCCACTTAGTTCATCTGCGACATTTTTTCTTTAACAACCAAACATCTAGTACCATTAAGAAAAGAGGGTCTCATAAGCTTTCTTTTGAATTAGCCTTTTAACAGTTTTTACTTCCAATAAGAAATTTAGCATGTAAATTAGAAAATAAAACCCAAAGCTCAACTGAAAGACATGAACTGACCTTGTAACCACAGCCAGCTACACAAGCACGGAAGCACTCCTGTAAGAGAAATGAGCAAAATTGATTCAAGTGATCATATATTATAATGAAACAGTCGAAGTATGCAATGCTTCTATATCATGCATGGATGGCACTAGAATACCAACCAGATAATGCCCACCACCAAAGAACAAATCTCTTCCTTAATGAAACAATAGATTATATGACACTATCACCCGACAGACCTTAATGTCAATCACAATTTTCCATTCTACTTCAACAGAAATAAAAGTTGAGCATGCCTTTTGTTCTTGACACTCTTCATGTCTCTAACTAATTTCAACCCATCATTATTGGAGATGAACAACTCCTAAACACTATTATTCAGAGTATGTTTGGGAGGACTTTTCCAAAGCCTAAAAGCACTTACTGGACGTCAAAAGCTCTTTTTTCAAAATACTAGCGGTTTGGCTAAAGTCAAAAGGTACTTTTTGACCAAAAAATAGCTTTAAAAAGCTGTATTGGAGCTTCTCAAAAAACTTATATTGAACTTTTACATTTAATGAAGTTTTAAAATTAACAAAACACACATTAACATATCAAAAAACTTTATAACTTCTAACCCAATTAAATAGATATAAAGTTTATACAAAAATACTTTCATAGATATGTTGCCAAACAATCAATTTAATAATTAAAGCACTTTTTTATTCACAACAAACAATCAACAACCTTTTAATATAAGCTTTACTATCAAAAGTTCTACTGCTAAAAGCTCTACTCATGCCAGCAATGCCAAACGGACCCTTAGTCTCTATGGATAACAGGATAACTTACACTAAGCCCTTAAGGCCAATATAATAAAATCAAATGGACCCACACAAGCAGATTTAGAATGAAGATGGTTGGTTCATCCAAATACACCAAGAATCTATCCAAAGCATACCCAATCCATTTCATTCGTGGCCACGACAAAAGACTAAAATAATACATGATTCCACTTAAATTTGCAATACACAGGTGCTACTTTCAGATATAGGCCCTGTTTGGCACCCATTTTTATCAAAATGCATTTTTCTCTCTCTTCTTTTCAACCACACATTCTTTATTAAAATAATATTACACGTAAATCAAAAACTTTTTCTTATTTTTCAACCACACATTTCCCATCAATTCACTATTCAAAAATTCATTTTCACATAAAAATTCCTACCAAACACCCTCATAATTGATTTTTATTTTTTGAGTGAATGTCCAAACAGGTGCTACTTTCAGATATAATTGATTTTTATTTTTTGAGTGGATGTCCCAAAAAAAAAAAAAAATTGATGTATTTAATGGAAAACAGAAATCCACATACCACTTCAAATATCTCATAGACAATTGTATTCAAGATAGAAGCATATAATCACTAAATTGTTAGCAACCATCTGTGCACATAACTGGCCATTATAGAAATGAGATATGAGCAAGCAACTACAACATGAAAGAATTACAGACTAAAGAAAGGGAAAAAAAAACCTCCGAGTAGCTGGCAGCACCAGGAGAACGGTCAATATAAGCACTCCATTGTCGGTCCTTTAGAACTGGGTCTTTATAGCATATCTCATCACACTCTCCTAAACCTGAATATCAAATACCAAATAGACATTTGATCACTTGCTTGGCCTCTGATAAACCAATTTTTGAGTCCAGTAGACAGTCATCAATAATATATATTTGTGACTGCTGACAGACCAACAACATCGGACACAGAAAATTAATACTTACAGTCCTCCCACGTGTCACCATCAGAGTCACACCCCTTTTTGCAGAATACTCTCCCTAGGAGAACCCAGGGAATGATTAGACGGATCTGACCAAATAAGAACATGTGCATTTGGGGAAAAAAATGCTTACGAATCACGAAAACAGAAAAGGAAAAGCCATAAGCCATTGAAATAGGACCAGATGATGTACTATATCGAGCAAACAGTTTGTGTCTGGAATGTGGATAAGACAAATAAATATGCATCCAAAATTTTCTTGTTGATTATTGTACCTCGATCACAGAATTGCAAACAAGTTTCCTCCTAATATTTTAAGAGAAACTCATATAGAGACATCTTTTCTTATCTTCCATTCTTCTTTATTTAAATTCAACTCAAACATCACGCAACCTAGTAATCAAATTTTACATGCTGTTCCCGGCCCATTATAGGACGGCTACAAAATTCAATGTTCGTATTATGTTGATAAAGAACCATGGTATTTAATCAATCCAAGTATACGATCATAACATTCAGGAGATACTTAGTGATATTTTGACATAAATAGAGTAAGACACTGTTCCCTTCTCACAGTAGGGACAAACATTAGATTTATCTTTGATTGATTCCCTATTCATACATCTAAGTCATATCAACAACTACATCCAGGGAAAGAAATTATAAGACAAGCTCACAGAGGATAACATTTGTTTGAAATGACCACGCGTCAGTTGTATAAGATTTTCTTAAAAACTCTGCCCTCGCTCAGCCTCATCTAATTTCTTCACAAAAACAAAAACGGCCTAACAGAAATTAAAGCAATCACTTCTATTTTCTCTCAGAAACGCCCAGATTCAACAATTCATAACGTATTAACTAGACTTTCTATACAAACTCCACGTAATTCGTAACGCGAGTAAATCTAAATAAATAGCTAGTATAATGCAAATGCTTAGCTCAACTTTATGCATATGAAACACATAATTAAATCAATTCATATAAACATAAATACGTGGGCGACGATTAATAATAAGGTAAGGTAATTCAGTAGAAAGAGGGCAAAAAAATTACAAGGAATTTGAATAAGGGCAGCGTATTTGTGAGTGCATTGATTGTTACAGGGCGGTGTCCATTGCCGCGGAATCATTTCTTTTCCTTTTCAATTTCTGTCGGAATTCTTTTACATTTCTCTGTGTGAGAAATTGCAAAATGCCCAAAAATGAATTTTCTGGGGACATACAGGAGAGAGATTCTCGGGGCAAGGGTAGCTTTGTCTTTACACAATGCCTAGTTACGTCGCGGGTCCATTTGGTGGGCCCTCGGATTGGTATGGGGATTGGGCCTACGTAGAGGTAGCCCATCGTGCGAAAAGCCTCCTATGGTCCAGACTGGACCGGCCCGAGGGAAAATGCAAAAAAATTAAGTGAAAATTACACAAAATCATACTTTAAATATTCATCATTCTAAAATCAGGTAGGAAGTTTGATATTTCAAAAATCAGATGAAAATTTATTTTTTAAATATTAATAATATTATCATAAAATTAACCCCCGTTCCAAACCCTAACTACATCCTCTCTATCTTTTTACACAACCCACGCTCTCTCGCCGTCAATCTCTCTACCACCCACCCTTTTTATATTGGCGACGCCTCTATCTCTCTTCTACCTTTTTCTCTCTATCTTCTACCAGTATCCTACCTAATTCCTCTCTATTCCGACCGATCGATCAGTGCTTTCAGTGGTGCCGTGCGAAAGGTGGTGCGCAGAGCGGTGTGAAGACGTCGTCGACTTTCCAATCACCGCAACTACGCTCTTTGCTACCTATAGACAGTTCACATATCTGAGATTATTGCTTTTAGATCGCCAAGCGGCTTCGGGTTTTGTCTCGCTAAAGCAGAAAAAGAGTAAGATGCTTCAAGATTATCCTTGATTCGTGTTTTGCAATTATCTGTGGCGATTTACTAGTAACAGTGTGGTGGGGTGATGTTGTTAGCGATGGTTGTAAGGTGGTGTCGATTGTAGGTATTAGTTCGTTGCCACTGCTCATGAGAGAAAATTTGGTGGTGGTGCTGGTCGCGGCTACGACAGATGCAGATTCAAAATCCACTACAGTATGTGGTGTGGTGGTGTCTGCAAGTGGTTTCTTGCGATTGGCGGTGCTTTGTGGTAGCTGTACAATGATTCTAAATGGTAGCAGTGCTGTTAGCCGTGTTGGTGGTGACTTAATTTGTGACCAACGTGGTGGTGATTTTGGCAGTGATGGTGATGGTGCTGTTGGAGGCAGCGTTGAAGTGGTGGTCGGAAGTGTTGGTGATGGTCATAGATTATTTGGTTGATTGTGACAGTGAATTGGTTAATCTGTGACCAATGAAAAAGATAAATTATGACTAAGAAATAACGTGTGACCTAAAAATTAATAATTTGTGATCTGTGACGTAAAAAAATTTTTATTTATGATCGAAAAATCATGTGACCTGTCAAATTTTTTATTTGTGACATAAAAATAAGTTGTGATCAATAATTTGATAAATTGTGATTAAAAATTAATTCGTGACTAATTAATTTTTTATTTGTGACCGATGAAAAAATTGTGACCTACAAATTTTTTTGAATTGTGATCATAAAATAATTTGTGACATAAAATTTTGATTTGTGACCAAAAAATAATAAGTGACTAATTAAATTGTTAATTTGTGATCAAATTGTATAAATATGTGACTTAAATATATTTAATAAATTAATTAATTAATTAAATCATAAATAAAATTTAATAAAAATCTGATTTTTGAAATTTGAAACTTGTTTTCTTAATTTTGAAATATGTTATACTTAATCTCTTACTTATGAAATTTTCTTAAAAATTAAATACTAAAGTAAAAATTAAGCCCATGTATGTTTCCCATTATTTGGCCATTAAAATATGATCGTTATCCATCACATCAAATCACCATATTTGAATTTCTATCTCTTTTGTGGATTTTGTAACGACTATATTTTTCATTCTCATTCTTACATTAATATGAAACAAACGGGCCTAAATACCACTTATTGGCAAATATTTGTCGATAAAAGTTATGTTACAAGTATATGATTTTTGCAAAGAATTTTTTTTTATAGATATAGGTGTCGACACATCATTCAAAGATGAAAAAAACATAAAACACAAACGGACATGATTTTTCCATTTCAAAATTCTATATGAATTCTACAAGGAAAAAGCCACTTTCACTGAATTTTGGTGACATTTCAATTGATCGACCCTCACATTCTATGTGGGTCCTGCGTAAATTAAAAAATGTCAACCCTCCCGATTCGATCATCCTATATGTCAACCCTTATGTTCGTATAGCTTGGTGCATTCTATAAATTTTGTCGGTACTCAGGGAAAAATCCTTCTCGATAAACACGCTTTTATTTTCTACATTGCGCTCTTGTAAACCTCAAAATACCCAGTCTTTAAGGAGTCGCGTTGCAGTACTATTGCCTACGAAGGATTGCAGTGGAAAAAACTGCCAACTGAAATTCACTCTGCTTCTCTTTCAATGAAACTCTGCCACAGCCTCGTCACCTTGAGTGTATCTCCGCCGTATCGTAGTCTTTCTCGCCATCCCAAATCCCTCTCTTCCGAGTTACCATCTCACCGGGTCAACGTCGCCGAATCACTCCACTCCGAAACCCTCAAAATCCTCGAATGGCCCTCCGTGTGTACCCAGCTCGCCGCATTTACCTCAACCTCAATGGGACTCGCCGCAGCTCAAACAGCCCGAATTCCTCTGGGGAAATGCCCAGACGATAGCAGGCGACTCCTGGCTCAGACCTCTGCCGCTGTGGATATCTCTCAGCCGTTGGATTTCTCGGGAATAGAGGATGTTTCGGCTATTGTTGAAACCTCGGTCGCTGGTGAAATGCTATCGACTCGTGAGCTTTGCTCGGTGCAACGGACACTAAGAGCGATCAGAGCTTTGCTCGAACAGTTGGAGGATATTTCAGCGCAGAATGATTTATCCAAAAGGTATTACTTTATAAACTTCTTTTATCTCTTCATGCAGCATCATTTGGAAATAAAAAAGCTATCTTTACTTATTTTTAAGCTTAACCATACATGCTCTAATTGGTCTTGGAATTCCAATTCAAGAACTAGATAAATCAAAATTCATTAGAGTTGTTTTCAATATGCACACAAGCATGAAAATCTATTAAAGCTACCTGCTAAAATCCAGTGAAGTGATTGTGACTTGCGACAAGAAAAAAGATAAAGGAAGAAAGAAAGAACAGCTAATGTGGTGAACATCAAGGACGGTTCAATTTGGATATACATGAAAATCAGTATTAATGATTTTAAAATACTTATGTTTACAAGTTTCTGGAAGAGTTTTGATTCGCAAACAACGCTTCTCCCATGACCAGTAAAAATTGTCTTAGATTGCTTTAACTCTTGACTGAGCTTAGAATCTATAACCCCCTTTCCTTTATTTGATGGATCTGTAAGTCCAAATAACCATACTTATTTTTATGCAGTTAGCTCAATTGTGGAAGAAAAATGAATCTAATGTATATAATAATTTTCCATTTGAGGCATCTTTTTGATGTATATCATTCTTACCCTAGAAGACAATACAAGAGTGTATTTATACAATATGCAGAATGTCATAGATATAGAACCATGTGCTAGGCAAATGCCAAAAGGAACATTTTTAGCTGCTTTATTTAATTTCTGCAATATTCTCAATGAGAGAGCATACATCATATGAAACTGATGGATTCGTTTAAACAAATTGATAAAAATAAAATGGAGTACACATTCTAGCTTCCCTTATATTTCTCTTGCCTGACATAGAAGCTGCTGCATGAATCCACAAATTTAACGAGCAATAAGCAGCTTCATTGGGTTATGTGCATCTTTTCCATTCAAGCAGGTGCTCTCCTCTGCTTAAAATTCTTCGGAATTGCAATTTTTTGACTGAATTGGAGCGAAAGATAGGCTTCTGTATAGATTGTAACTTTTCAGTGATCCTTGACAGAGCCAGTGAGGAATTGGAAATCATAAGGTTAGAAAGAAAAGGGAACATGGAAAATCTCGAATCAACGCTGAAGCAGGTTTCTGCTCGAATTTTTCAGGCTGGTGGAATTGACCGACCGCTAGTAACCAAGCGTAGATCAAGGATGTGTGTTGCTATTAGAGCTAACCGTAGATCTTTGTTGCCTGGTGGAGTAGTTCTAGATACTAGCAGCTCTGGGGCAACTTACTTTATGGAACCTAGGGAGGCAATTGAGTTGAACAATCAGGAAGTGAGGCTCATGAATTCCGAAAGGTTAGAGGAGCAAGCTATAATGAGTTTACTTACTGCTGAAACTGCCCAGTCTGAGAGACAAATTAAGTATTTATTGGATAGAGTATTGGAAGTAGATCTCGCTTTTGCGAGAGCTGCTCATGCTCGGTGGATGAATGGGGTATGTCCAAATTTTATTGCAGAGGGTTATGAGAATTTAGAAAATAACGCATTATCTGTAGACATTGATGGAATAAAACATCCTTTGCTGCTAGAGTCTTCGCTGAGAAAATTTTCCGATTTTAACAAATCCAGTAGTTCACTGTCTTCAGATCAGGAAAGTGGCATTACAAACTCCAGAATAGTTTCTGGTGCATTTAGTTTTCCAGTGCCTGTTGACATCAAAATTGGACATGAAGTAAAGGTGGTTGTGATTTCCGGACCTAATACAGGAGGCAAAACTGCTTCAATGAAAACTCTTGGATTGGCTTCATTAATGTCGAAAGCCGGCATGTATCTTCCTGCTGAAAACAATCCACGATTCCCATGGTTTGATCTTGTTCTTGCAGATATAGGTGATCATCAGGTAATTGTTCTCTCTCTCTATCTGTTAGATTAGTTACACTTTTAGTTTCTTCTTCCTGTCACAAAATAAATTCTTTTGTTGATGTCGAACTTATAATCAATTGAAGTCTTTAGAACAAAGTCTCTCAACCTTCAGTGGGCATATATCACGGATTAATAAAATCTTGGATGTGGCTTCTGAGAATTCTCTTGTCCTTCTCGATGAAATTGGAAGTGGGACTGATCCTTCAGAAGGTGTGGCTCTTTCAGCCAGCATATTGCAATATCTCAAGGATAGAGTTAAGTTAGCTGTTGTAACAACCCACTATGCAGATTTAACTTGTCTGAAAGAAAAGGATGCTCGGTTTGAGAATGCAGCCATGGAGTTTTCCTTGGAGAGTCTGCAGCCTACCTATAGGATTCTCTGGGGAAGCATGGGTGAATCAAATGCCTTAACTATTGCTGAATCAATTGGTTTTGACAGAAAAATAATTGAACGGGCAAAATCTTGGGTGAAGAAGTTAACACCTGAAAAGATGCCGAAGTTGAATAGTGTTCTATATCAATCACTAGTGGAAGAGAGAGACAGATTAGAAACTCAAGAAAAAAGAGTTGTGTCCCTTCATTCGGACGTAATGAAAATTTATCATGAGGTATTGTTATAAACTTCAATCAAAGATTAAATTTTCATTTTTGTGTTCTGATGACGTATAGTTCTACATACCGATAAATTCTACTAGCTCCCAAAGCAGTTGGGCCAAATGGGCCAAATGTACTGTTTTTTTCTGAGTTCACGAGTTTTTTATCTGCTTCATGTACTTGACAATACAAGATGCTCATTAGTTAAATTCTTTTTCAGTTTCAGCCAGCCTGTTAAGTTGTTGTGCTCTTCTTAAGAATTCTGCCTGCATTTATTATAGCCAAGAATCTATTATTGATCTCACCATTTTCCTCCTCCTCTATGAAAGATCCTCAATGAGGCAGAAGATCTTGATGGACGTGAAGCAGCTCTTAAGGCAAAGGAAACCCAGCAGATTCAACAGGAACTGGAAGTTGTGAAAACTGAGATTGATGCTATAGTTGAAGAATTTGGGAACCAACTAAGAACTACAAGTCGAGACCAATTCAATTCTCTTTTGAAGGTATCGGAGTCTACCATTGCGTCCATTGTTGAAGCTCTTCGGCCTAGCAATGATGTTGAAGTTGAAGGCAGTTTTCATACTCCACAGCTTGGAGAGCAGGTTCTTGTAAAGGGTTTAGGAAGTAAATTGGCTACTGTAGTTGAAGCACCAGCAGATGATAATACAGTCCTTGTCCAATATGGAAAAATCAGAGTCCGTGCAAACACAAGCAGTATAAAAGCTCCTTCTGATGGTAAAGATGCAATGTCTTTGGTCCCACTCTCAAGAAGGAAGGCAAGTGAGCTTCCTAGAATTTAGTTGGCCATTTATCATTCAACGCTAAAAAAATTAGCAATATTAGACTATCTTAAGGGAATTGGGGTAATATGTAGAGTTTATTAAATCTCAGGGGGATATGGTAGTTTAATAAATCCAGGACTAACCTACAAGTTTCTGAAAACATGAGTAATTTATATTTCCCCTATTGACTTACAAATGCATAGAAACCAATGATGGGTATTTTATGATTGCTATTGTAGGGTTGGCGAACTAAGAATCTGAAGAACTTAAGGAGTCTTTCAGAAACTAGAAAAGATGAGGAGATTCCTTTTGGCCCGGCTGTGCAGACATCGAAGAACACGATTGACTTAAGAGGTATGCGAGTCGAGGAAGCTACTCACCATGTCAGCATGGCTATCAATGAAAGAGGGTCTAATTCAGTTCTCTTTATTATACATGGAATGGGCACTGGTGTTTTGAAGGAGCGTGTAATTCAATTATTAAGAGACCATCCTCGTATTGCCAAATTTGAACAGGAAAGTCCAATGAATTATGGTTGTACTATTGCTTATATCAAGTAAATGTGCTTCTGCATCCAGTTGTAACACGAGTTACAATTTTGTTTATGTTCAGATAACTTGAACAATTGTGTAGCATCTTTTTCTCGTGTAATCTATAATGTCAATATTTGTTAATTTTTTGTAGAATTTATTACCATTTGATTTTATGCATACTTCTAATTTTCTGTGGCCAATTCCAACCTACGCAACAAGGCGCTGTTCTTGATGAATTTTGGATCAATGGCTGAATATGAGCAGATTATGATAGCAAGGCCACTCTATTAAGATACTTCATTTTGTAATTTAAGTTGTCTACAGATAATAAAAATCTTAGCTCAATAGGAGTTGTTCTTCAACATGGCAAGACTAGTGTGGGGTTTGGATGTGTCTCCATCTGATGTGGAATGGAGACGAGGCTGCCATGGACCAGCACAGCCTGAGGCGATAGCCACGGTTTAGACAAACAACTCATCTGTGAAATGCTGTCGCCTCACTGCGGTGGACAGCTTGCCATATCACGATGTCTTTTGACATCTGCATGCTGGTAATACCTTTTCTCCATATGATCAATTCGTTGCAACAGTAATGAAGCATAATTCTACGCTCCAAAAAAAGGGAGGAATCTGCATCAAAAGGAAATTGGAAAGATAATAGCGATTGGTTTTCATTCTGTCAGCTGCATGAAAGAATCCAAATCTATCCGTGTTTATTTCTTGAAAAGAGCAAGAACGATTACCATTGCAGTCTCTGGTAGATTATGACAATTTCAATCTTGCAGAACTTTTTCACCCCGTTATCTTGCTTTATTTGGGCAGTAACCTACAGTTCCAGATTTCTGCTTCAAAATATTAGCCTTTTTGAGAAATCCATTAGTAAACCACCGCAAGAACTGTCTCTCCCTCTTGGAGGTAGCTCTGGCTCAAAGAGTACTCGCCAAGAAATTACAGAAATATTCCGTTTATGGAGGTCAGATTCAACATTTTACGACTTTCGAAATGGAAACTTCTTGGTTTTTTCTCATAAAGATCAAAATCCAGTGTATCCAAGGTTATGGATTACATTATTCTACAAGCTTTCTAACAATTGACTTGGAAATGTTTTGAGGTTTTATCGATTGGGCGATCATTAGGTCTATCGTGGTTATGGAAGATATTCTCTGGGTTGTTGGATAATACTTGAATCAAGATGAACCCTGCGAATGCGGAAAAGACTGCCTTCAGAGTTCAGAACTTCGATAGGAAGGGGCCGGGGGCCTTTCCGAGAGGGCATCCTTTGCCAGGAAATCGGACTGTTCTCTCAAACGATATTACGGCCTTTCAAGACAGGCAACGGAAGCCATGATAATCTTCAAGGTTTATAAAATGTTAAGAGATCGAGCACCATATCCTCCTGATCAAGTTATCAAAGAATTTAAGGGAGATTTGCTTTTATTTATTTTTTATTCAAAAGCTTCTTTCTTCCTCCTAGCCAGGGTGAGTTGACTCTTTCACTATTGAACCACCTCGTCTAAACACGTATTGATAAGATTATCTTTGAATTGTTTCATAAATGAATGACAGCAAATTTGAACACGGCATTTGCTACTCTGATCAACATCATCTCATCCAACACTCTTTTTTGTGCTCTATGGTGGTGTTCAATCGTTCCGAGAAAACTTGCACATATTTTCTTGTAGTGCAAGTTCGTAACTTTTTCGTTTATTGTAAACTTTGGCAGGATCGTGATGGAAGTATGCAATTCCACTGTGGAACTGCTGCGGTAGGGTCCTTAGTTTGCTCTGATGATCCCAATAACATCTTAGCTGCTTGTGGAAAATGCTGAACGCCCTTCCCTCCAGATTAGCCCCTTTGTACTATGTAAAAATTAGCAGTGCCAGTGTGTATTCGACTGTCCAAACCTATGGTCCATGGGATAGATAAGAAGATTTAAAACGTACCTACGTAGTTAAATCTAAATTTAGTGAGACAAAGTCGCCAAATTTTGCAGGCTGCATTTGAAACAAGCGGTAGTGAGCTGATTTGTTTTGATCATCCACTTCACAAGGTAAGAGCAACTGCACGAGAGGTTGATGAAGGAAACACTGGGGCTGTCATTTTTCAAGTGGACCTGTTTACGAAACTTTCCAGCATTCCCCGGACTGGTAGTGCAGCAAATGGGACAGACGCCACTGTTGTTGAAGGAGAATAAAAACCCTGGATTTTCTCTCCTCATGTAATAATTTCAACATCTTCAGAGCACAATTTAAATTTCTCAACTCAAATTTCTTTTTCTGTGGATAGGTGGGTTGTTGTATTTAGCTTTGGAATCTTTATCAAGCAGTTTCAAATGAATTAAGTTTGAACCTGTCATTTAATTTTGTCGTTCTTGACACTAGATACCACTCTTAAGTAGAATCACATTTTGGTGAATGTTTTGCATTGTTATCAGTCTTTCAAAGCACAATGTCAACAGTAGAATAAATTTAAAACTCTGGGCCCCTCATCTTTCTCAACTTTTCAGCACTTATTATTTCAGTCAAATAAAAAAAAAAATAGACTTTTATACCATCTCTAAGGATAAATGTTTGCTTTTTCGTCATCTTTGACTGAATGCATTGTTCTAAAGTCTAAACTTTTGACAGAATTTGATGGAACGGCCTTGTTTTTTTCAGAAAAAGTGGTAACTGGAATTTTCTGTCGTTGATCCGGAAAATTCTGCATAACAACAGTATTATCATACATTAAGATTTAAGAACAGTGAAATCATGAAATTCCGGTTGCTGCTTTGTTCTGTCTTGAGAAATCAAATTTATAAAAGAAACGGGAATCATGAAAGAAAGAGGACCCCAACCATAGGCATGTCAAAAACTTAATTAGAATTATCTTAATCAGGGCATGTTGTGGATTAGACTGAACTCGACTTCGTACCTCCCTCCCTCCTATTTCTAACATGGCCTGGGAACTTTGCTTTGGTGACCATGGCTGCTTATGCACTGAGAAAGGCATTCCAATAACTTAACTTCCAGTGTCTTGAAATGAGCAAGCTGCATTTGCAGTTCCAATCTCTCTCTTCTCAGGTTCTTGTTCTCCTCCATTAGCAACCGAGCATTTCCATCCAAGGTTGTTGATTTGTGTTCTTCGGAGGCTTTAAGATATGCAGGAAAGGCGCTTGGCTCACATTTCTTTCGAGTAATCTCCCGAAGCAGATGCCTATACCCTCTCTGGAACTTCTCGTGCTGAAATTCCCATCGTTTTGACGCTGTTTTCTTGAATCCCTAGTTCAGACCTAACCCCGTGTTAAAGATATAAAATCATTTTGATATGCATATGATATAATAGCTTGGACACAGAGTTCCTGATTGGTATAAGTTACACGAAGTATATTATTTGTTTCATTATCTTTAACACACTCTAGATTTTCCCTCTCGCTGCCCTTAGAAGGTCCTAGATGAAAAAGACTCATTCTTCCGGCCAACTTACGCATGCACATATGATACATCAAGAAAAATCGAGATTTAGGAAAGCAAGACTTACATAGGTATTTAGCTGTCGAATGAAGCTCGAAAAGTTATTATGCTTGAAATATCTGGGCAACATAACCTCAGAAAACTCAGCAGTATTCCATACAATAAAACCATTGCCCTCAGAATTCCATGAAACAATCCTTTGCCCATTTGCTATAGCTTCTTCTTCCTCCTCCAAAATATCATACGTTTTGGATAGAAATGGAGGTGGGCACTTACTCCGGGGAGACTGCCCAATTTTCAGGCTCATCCCCCTTTCAAGCATTGAACCTGTTGTGGGAGCCATGCTTGATTAATTTGTACAGAGCACCCCTCAGAGAAAAGCCTAGTTTCATTTCCTTTATTTATATATACTATATTTTCTTAGAAACTACTAGCACATGTCAAAGTTGGCTTGTATCTTTCTTTTATCCACCTTTAAGAGGTCATTCTGGTGCATGCTCTACCTTTTGTCTTGGGCCAAAATATCTTAAGAGGAGAATATTCCAATGGTGTATATTTTCTAAAGCTTTCAAAGTCATGTTTGTTGGGAAATATTGAACGATTTTTTTATTTTTGTATTGTTCGGTACTCTCTAATTTATCATGCTGTTAAGAGTAAATTGAGGGTCAATATTACATGCCAACTAGGTGACAGAGCATAAACAATTAGGATTTGTTCGTTGCTTAATATTAGATAAGATGATATAACTAAATAATTTTTTTTTGTTTTTGTTTTTGTTTTTCTTTTTCGCTTCTATATGTTCGTCTTACCAAATATGTCATTACGATACAGAAAATATTTTTGTTCCTTGGGACACTGCAAACATGCAAGGGCGAGCGACAGAGTTCGACTTGATTTGGAGAGAATATGACGTAACTAATAACGTGCATCCATCAAACTACATGTATATTAAGTTTGATACTCTTCACATAGCATCCATTGAAGTCATTGATTTCTACAATACTCCTATCATATCAATGTCCAAATTTTGACATATAAGGAGGAATGTCAACTAAGATGTAACCTATAATGCACATATAACTTAATTCTAATGTGCATTATTGAGGTCGTATAACGTGATAATGGTTGTTCAAAATATTTGACAAATACTATAAAAGACAATATTCCTGAGCATTCGAATATTGAATAATGTATTTTTAAATGTTTTGAAGGTTTTCATCGCCTCCCTATGAAGACTGTACACATAAATTTTGTTATGAGGAGAGAATTATACTGGAGTTGGTAGCAAACTCTATTTGACTAGAGGCTTAAATTAATCATCAATTTTTTTATTATTGATCGATCACTACCACAAATAATGTATAAATTTGTACAAGCTCCTACAGAAGAAGGTGGCAGAAACTCTAATAAATCTAGGATAGGAGAAGGCACAAAAGAAAACTGCAGAATAGGAAAATCGAAATTCTAAACATATATTACAATCGAAGCCGGCTGAAATCTTTTCAGAGTCATCTCCTGCAATGGGAATGGAACTCCATTTCTGCGAAAAGTATTGGTCGAATGCCATTCTTTTGTTCTTGGAATTTGTGTTAGCTACGAGTCCATGGATTGCTGAGAAGAAAAATATATAACTTGTTGATAAAAATGTAGGGAAATCTTAATACGTTAATAAATTCCAAAGCACGAAAAAATGTTATCTTTTAAGAGATGTTTCTCCCCTATTCAACAAAGTCACAATTGGGGTATGATAGAAAATCTCTCTCAGGATACAATGGAGACGTTTAATTCAAATTGTGACTATTTGATCAAACCAAGAAGACACTCGAAAATAACTGACTGATGCCAAGAGAACAAAGGAAGAATAAATTGTTTAATGTGTTTTGCAAACGAGAATTCGCCCAGAATTTATAGAAATTGAGGCAACCGTTTGAATATGTGTGTCCCTTGAAATCCTTGCATATATCTATTGGAGGTGACTGTTAAAAAAACGAACAGATGCACCTATTCAAAGACTTTTGAAATAAAATTCTCAAGTCGATCCCCGTTGCAGCGGCAAACACTAGTCGGGGCGGCAAATCATTCGCAAAATAGAAATAAATACATGCAAAATGATGAAAAATATCTAACATATCCCCCCTATTTTTCAAAATTTTGATTTAGAAAAGATGAAGCGGCCGCATCACAAAAATTGATTGCCTACGTACCCTTAACGGGATCAAGCCACCGTAGTTCATGCAAACACATACAAAAGGCATCATCGTAGGAAATCGTACATAAATGAAAGTAGCTTTTGACTTTGAACTTTCACTTAGTGTAAACAACTCAAAGTTTTGTCAAGGTGCTATGGTGAACGAATCTTGAACCAAGGACCCTATCATGACTAACCGGAGTCATTACACATACTATTCCGATAAAAAAGAAGTGTATCTTTTATACCAACGCATTAATGGCCTTGCGTATATCCCGAATTTCATGAGTGCTTTAGAGACGGTCTAAATCTCATAGAAAAGGGCCTGACTTTCTCACTCACATAGGTAAGTTCTTTATAAAGTAATTCTGGTAGTTACTTTCTCTCTCAATAGAACTTATTAAGGAATTAAATCCATCCTCAACCATGCAAAATATATATACACTAGAGATTTTATGAATGGGTTTGAACTAATACTCTAGTATCTCGTCTAAATTAGACTTTAACTTGTTTGTACCCTTTGAACTTTGTTTATATTTCAAAACATAAGTAGGGTTCCCATTAAAGCTAACTGAAGTTACATAGACCTCAATCCCATTCCTTTCGATGTTTTCGCAATCATCTCTCTAGCCAATCCTTTTGTCAAAGGATCTGCTAGGTTATTCTTCGACTCTACATATTCAAAGGTGATTACTCCTTGCTTAAGTAATCTTCGAAGAGACTGGTGTCTAATACTGAGATGTCGTTGCTTACCATTGTAAGTCTTGTTTGTTACCAAATACAAAGTAGCTTTACTATCACAATAGATCATCACAGCTGGAGATGGTTTCTCCCACAATGGGATATCTATTAGCAAATTTCTTAGCCATTCAACTTCTTTACTTGCATCAGTCAAAGCAATAAATTCTGCCAACATAGTCGAATCTGAGACGCATGTTTGTTTCTTAGAACACCAAGAAACAGTTGCACCTCCTAAAGTAAAAATCCAACCTGTTGTGGATTTAGAATTCGATTCTATGTTGTTCCAACTTGCATCGCTGTATCCTTCAAGTACAAGGGGAAATCCACGATAATGTAATTCATAATCAATAGTTCCTTTCAAGTATCTTAGGATTCTTGAAACCACATTCCAATGTTCTTTTCCTGGATTGCTAGTGAATCGACACAATATGCCAACTGCATATGCAATATCTGGTCTTTGCAGTGCATAGTATACATAAGACTTCCAATCACACTTGCATATTGTAGTTGGTCATAAGATCTACCAGTATTTTTCATTAACTTAATACTAGGATCTATCGGAGTTGATGCGGGTTTATGACCCATATGACCATATCTTTTAAGGATATTTTCAATATAATGAGATTGATTTAGCAATATGCATCCATCTTTTCTTATTATTTTAATCCCTAAGATCACATTTGCTTCGCCTAAATCCTTCATGTCGAAGTTAGACTCTAGCAATTGTTTGGTCTCCTTAACACTTTCTAAGTTAGGACCAAAAATAAGCATGTCATCTACATACAAGCAAATAAGAGTACATGTACCATTTCTACATGTAGAATAGATATATTTATCTACTTCATTAACCTTGAAACCGTTAGACAACATTACTTTATTGAACTTTTCATGCCATTGCATAGGGGCTTGTTTTAAACCATAAAGGGACTTAACTAGTTTACAAACATTCTTTTCTTGTCCAGGTAAAACAAAACCCTCGGGTTGCTCCATATATACTTCTTCCTCCAAATCACCATTCAGAAAAGCCGTTTTTACATCCATTTGATGGACAGCTAAATTGTGAGTTGAAGCAAGAGATAGCAACACCCAGATGGAAGATATCCTTGCTACGGGAGCGTAAGTATCAAAAAAATCTATGACATGACGTTGTTTAAAACCTTTAGCTACTAATCGAGCCTTATACTTATTTATAGAGCCATCTGCATTTAATTTCCTCTTGAAAATCCATTTACAACCTATTGGTCTAGAACCACGAAGTAAATCAACCAATTTCCATGTTTGATTTGACATAATGGATCTCATTTTATCATTGATTGCTTCTTTCCAAAGTACAGCATCTCGAGAGGAAATAGCTTCTGAATATGTGACAGGATCACTATCATCATTGAGCATTAGCTTAGTCTGATGTGTAATATTATTTACATCACCTTCTAGCAAATAAGTCACAAATTCAGATCCGAAAGATTTTTCTTTCCTTTGTCTCTTAGTCCTTCTAGGTTCTATTTCCGATTGTGGTTCAACAGAAGTATCATCAAGAGATTCTTCATGAATTCTCTTAGAAGAACTAGAAGTAGTATTATTTTTAGTTTGTATAGTTGAAGACTTGTATATATTTTCAAAAAATTCAGCATCAATTGATTCGATAACATCATAGGATTCTAACTTCAGAAACCTATAAGCAGTACTGTTTTTTGCATAACCTATGAATACACATTTATAAGTTTTACTTCCTAATTTAGTGATCTATGGATTTGGTTTTCTCACATATGCGAGACATCCCCACACCTTGAGATGGCTAATATTAGGTTTCCGATTGAACCACAACTCATATGGAGTTTTGTTAATCTTCTTCATAGGAATCCTATTTAGAGTATAACATGCACTTAAGATTGCTTCACCCCACCATTGAGCAGGTAAACCAGAACTAATAAGCATGCAATTCACCATTTCAACTAAAGTCCTGTTTTTCCTTTCTGCTACTCCGTTTGATTCTGGCGAATATGGTGGAGTAAACTCGTGAACTATACCATTAGTTTCACAGAATTTTGCTAATTCTGCTACTTGGTATTCACCTCCTCTATCAGAGCGTAGGACTTTAATTTTTCGGTTTAATTGATTTTCCACTACTGCTTTATAAATAAGAAATTTGCTTAAAACTTCATCTTTACTTTTTAGTTAGTATACATAAGCATATTTCGAAAAATCATCTATAAAGGTCACAAAGTACTTGTTCCCTCCACGTGAAACTTTACTAAGCAGATCAGCCACATCGAAATGTATAAGACCAAATAATTCAGATGTTCGTATAACAGATTTATGTGGTTTACACGTTATTTTACCTTGAACACATATTTCACATTTGTTAACATCATCAAACTTACATTTAGGAATAATTCCTAAATTATGCATGTTCTTAATGGATTTATAATTTATGTGGCCTAATCTAGCATGCCATAAAGGTAAAGAATCAACAGTATAAGCAAAGTTTATTAGATTCATTTTGAATATACCATTACATGAGTAACCTTTTCCGACAAATACATTATTCTTAGATACTATAAGGCTATCAGACTCAATTACAAGCTTAAAACCTGCCTTGTTAAGGCGATCCCCAGAAATCAGGCTCTTGGTCATTTCAGGCACATGGAGAACTTCTGCCAAAGTCAAATTCTTTCCCGAAGTGAATTTCAGTTCAACCGATCCAATTCCAACAACTTTGGTACGAACATTGTTACCCATTTTTACTTCTCTTCCATCGGTGCATTCTTTGTAAGTCTTGAACTGAGATTTGTCATTACTTACATGAATTGTAGCTCCGGTATCCAGCCACCATCCTACTTCAAATCCGACTGAGTTGGCTTCTTCCACCATAGCAACAAGGTTTGGATCATGATTTCCATCAGTCATATTTACTTTATCCTTCTTTGTTTTTTCGTTCTTTGTCTTCTCATCTTTTATTCGATGATGGCATTCACGAGCAATATGACCAGATTTCTTGCAGTAGAAACAATCCCCCTTGAATTTTTTCTTAGAGGTTTCTACATAATCTTCCTTAGAACTGGAGTTTTTACGCTTCTTATTACCCTTATAATTTTCTTGAACCATGTTTGCCTTTTCTGCCGCTTGATCATTATTCTCTCGTTTACGAGAGTCTTCCTCAATACACAAATGATGCATGAGGGATTTCAGGGTATGTTTGGTTTCATCATGTTTGAGTTTCTTTTTATAGCCATTCCATGAACTTGGTAATTTTGCAATAATGGCTCCAACTTGAAATGCATCAGGCAAGACAATTTCAGCATTCTTAAGATTACTAACAATAAGTTGTAATTCATGTACCTGGGTAAAAACAGACTTACTATCCGTCATCTTGAAATCAAAGTAATTACCGATCAAGAATTTTCGGTTGCTTGCTTCTTCAATACGATACTTGTTGTCCAATGCCAGCCACAATTCTTTTGCTGTTCCGATAGTCCTGTGTGCGTTGTAAACAGAATCTGATAGTGTATTCAGAATAAGGCCTCTGCACAGAAAATCATCATCCTTCCGTTTCTTCCGCTGTTCCTGTAATTCCTTCTTGCGTTCATCTGAATCATCTGCTTTTTCTTCTGGAATAGGCGTGAGATCATCACTCAGAATGTAGGACAGTTTGATTGCTGTTAAGAAGAATAAAACATTCTCCTGCCAACGCGTGTAGTTATGTCCATCAAACCGATCAAGACGAATCAAATCTTGATTCATGACTTGAATTGAGGGTGCCACAGATTCATTTACTGTCAGATCTTGAAATGAAGACATCTCTTAAATCTGTTGATAAATACATAGGAAAATCTGAATACGTTAATGAACTCCAAGGCACGAAAAAACGTTATCTTTTAAGAGATGTTTCTCCCCTATTCAACAAAGTCACAACTCGGGTATGATAGAAAATCTCTCTCGGGATACAATGGAGACGTTTGATTCAAATTGTGACTATTTGATCAAACCAAGAAGACATTCAAAAATAACTGATTGATGCCAAGAGAAAGAAGGAAGAATAAATTGTTTAATGTATTTTGCAAACGAGAATTCGCCCAGAATTTATAGAAATTAAGGCAACCGTTTGAATAGGTGTGTCCCTTGAAATCCTTGTATACATCTATTGGAGGTGACTGTTCAAAAAACAAACAGATGCACCTATTCAAAGACTTCTGAAATAAAATTCTCAGGTCGATCCCCGTTGCGCAGTGGCAAACACTAGTCGGGGCGGCAAATCATTCACAAAACAGAAATAAATACATGCAAAATGATGAAAAATATCTAACATAACTTAGTTCTTAATATGACCAATTAGTTTACTGACTTTACTCAATTCGAAAATAAATAAATAAATAAATTGAAATTTTTATGTACATCAGGTCAAGTTTTGCAGGGCTTAAAGAGAGTTTTACCTAGAGGAAAATTTTGACAAAAACATAAAAAGCCCCATCGTGAAAATATATAATTTATGGTTTTGCAAGCTGTAACAAGACGTCAAATATATGTACATTCCTCATTCAAAAGAATCTGCACTGACAAAGATTTCATGTGGCATTTTAATGTAATATAAAATTGTTTGATAAGACACCTTCTTAAGAAGCATAGTAAAGTCCGATTTCATCAATTCAAAAGAGATGTGATACAACAACTAAAGTTGGAGAAAGTAAAATTATGAGTAGCTTCCAAGCAAACTCCAACCCTCCCATCACATCTTGGGAAAACTGCAAGTAACTAAATTTAACTATAGTCAAATGTAGAAATTCAAGTCTATTTATCTTATGGAATAAGCCAATAAGGTATCACACCACCTTTAACCTTGTAGCTAACCATCATCTACTTTACCCTTTGAATAATCCCGAAAGAAGCAAACTTCTAGTATTGGATCAAGAGAGAAAAGGCGGGAAAATATGTATTCTATTTCTGGAAAATGAAAACTGTCTCTACAAAGTGCCTAGCTGACTATATAAATAACAGAATGGCAGCTGGTGCCAGCTGTTAGTACATTGTGTAAAATATCTAATACTCCCCCTCAAGATGGCCGGTGAATGTCAAGGACCACCATCTTGGAAAGTAAAGGAAATAAAGAGGCTACAGGTAATGCTTTTGTGAAGACATTAGCTAGTTGGTGATTAGTGCGGACTGGAAGAAGTTTGAGAAATCCATCTGTAACTTTATCTTGCACCTCACTGGCTGTTGAGGCAAGTGTCCCGTATTTAGCCTCTGTGGATGAACGTGAAATAGTTATCTATTTCTTAGCTTTCCAAGAGATCATAGAGTCACCGAGGAATATGTAAAACCCAGTCATAGATTTTCGAGAGTCCAAACAAGAGCCCCAATCAGCATCTGCAAAGGCTCCAAGTTGTAAATCAGAAGAGGACGAGAAAAATAAACCTTGTCTCGAAGAGGCTTTCAAATATTGTAGAAGATGTTGTGATGCATCTAAGTGTGGCTGTCTGGGAGAAGAGATGAACTGGCTTAGTTTGTGGACTGCAAATGTGATTTCAGGCCGAGATATAGTATAGTAAGGTACAACAAACGGCCAACCAACCGTCTGTACGAAGAAGCATTAGGAAGTAGTTCCCTTTCAAATGAGCTAAGTTTAATCTTAGGATCCATAGGTAAAGAAGCTGGTTTGCAGGCAAGAAAACTAGAATCTTCAAGCAATTGTAATGCGTAATGACGCTGGGAGATAAACAAACCCTTAGATGACCGAGCAATCTCCAAACCAAGGAAGTACTTTAAAGATCCAAGATCTTTGAGTTTAAATTGGCTATGAAGAAACTTCTTTAACTCATCAATGATAACCAAATTAGGACCCGTGATAACGATATCATCAACATATACTAGCAAGGCCACAAAAGAGGAACCTGCACCCTTAGTAAAAAGGGAATAATCAGATTTGGATTGTGCAAAGCCATGGAGAACAAGAGCATGGGAGAATTTTGAGAACCACTGTCGTGAGGCCTGTTTTAAACTATAGATTGATTTATGCAAGCGGCATACAAGTTTCTCCCCCTCAGTATCAATCTTCCTGTCTGTGGTATAACCTAAGGGCAGGTCCATATATACCTCTTCAAATAAGTCTCCATTTAAAAAATCGTTATTAGCATCCAGTTGAAAGAGATGCCAATTTTTGTTGGCAGCAATGGCAAGCAACATTTTCACTGTGACTAACTTTGCAACTGGAGAAAAAGTTTCAATAAAATCTAAACCTTCTTGCTGGGTATATCCCTTTGCCACCAGCCGGGCCTTGTAACGTTCAATACTTCCATCAGACTTGTATTTTACTTTATAAATCCATTTGCATCCAATTGAATGTTTTCCTTTAGGAAGAGGTTGAATTGACCATGTTTTATTTGACTCCATAGCATCCAACTCATTAGCCATAGCTTCTTACCAATGTGGATAGTGGATAGCTTGATGATAAAATTGAGGTTCAAAGTTGAAAGATATGTTGAGAAGATAAGCATTATGGGAATATGAAAGGGATGTATATGAAATATAATTGGTCAGGGGATATGGAGTGGTAGGTGCATGATGAGATTTGTGTTGAAGTAAGTTGCAGTGGTATTCTCTTAGGTAAGATGGAGTTTTGATGACCCTTGAAGATCTTCGAATAATTGGATTATGCATTGTGGTAGAATCAGTTAAATTGGGAATATGGTCAGGTGTTGGAGTCGGATTATGTATTACGGCAGGATCATTAGCAATTGGAGTAGTGGGATCAGCCACATTGGAGACAGACAAATCAAAGGCTGGTATGGGTAAAACTAAGTCTGGAAAAGGGTCAGTGATCTCAGTAGGATGAGGTGTGGATTGGAAAGGAAACAATGTTTCATGGAAGATCACATCACGAAATACAAAAAAAAAATTAGATTGTATATCATAGAGTTTGTACCCTTTGACTCCTGGCATGTAACCAGCAAATATACATGCCACAGCACGGGGATGAAATTTTGTTTGAGTGGAAGGTAAAGTGGATGCATAACATAGGCAACCAAAAACTTTGAGGTGGGTGTAATCCACTGGCTTACCGTAAAGAAGCTAAAAAGGAGATTGCCGATGTAAAAAGGGTGAAGGAGTTCGATTGATCAAATAGATAGCTATAAGAACACATTCGCCCCAGAATTTTATAGGGACATGAGATTGAAAAAAAAGAGCTCTAGCTACATTAAGGAGGTGTTGATGCTTTCTTTCAACTACTGAGTTTTGTTCAGGTCGCTCAACACATGCAAATTGATGTATTACACCTTTGGAATTGAAGAAATCTATGAATTGTAGTTCATGTGCATTATCAGACCTAAACCTTTTTATTACCTTGCCAAATTGTGTTTCAATAAGGGAGAAAAATTTGGGAATTATGAATTTAACATCAGATTTCTGTTTCATGAGAAATAACCATGTAAATCTGGTACAATCATCGACTAAAGTCAGAAAATAACGATAGCCAGCATGTGTTGGTGTATGGTAGCGGCCCCATGTGTCACAATGGACCAAATCAAAGGCAATCTCAGAAAAAATTGTTGTTGGAAACGAAAGAAAGACGTCTTTGTTTAGCCAATGGGCAAATGGGACAATGAATGTCTTTATGATTATTACAATCAAATGACAAGTTGTCCTTCAGCATTTCTAATCGTTTAAATGACAAATGACCAAGTCTATTGTGCCAAATTTGTGAGGATACATTATTTATCATTGTAAAGGAAGAATTACAGGTAGTAATAGTTGGAATTGAATTACAAGAATTTGAGAAATGAGCAGTGTCTATGACATAAAGATCAGCCACTTTGTTACCCTTGCCAATCATCTTCGAAGTTGGCATTTCCTGGATAACGCAACAATTCATGAGAAATCTAACATGGATGGAAGAATTTCTTGTTAATGAACTTACAGATAGCAAATTAAAGTGGAATTGTGGAACATAAAGAACATCATGCAAAGTCAAAGACGAATTGAGTTGAATTGTTCCATAAAATTTGACATGTATGCGAGTGCCATTGGGAAGAGTGATATATGAATTTGGAATGGGAGTTATGGTATGGAAGAGAGATAGATCAAAGCATACATGATTTGTAGCACCGGAGTCAACTATCCAATATCTAGGGGAATGGAGGATAGGATGATTAGAGACAGAGAAGCAGGTACCTAATGTGTGTGATAGGTTCACATCAGTTCCTATGTTGGCTTTGGCTGATGTCAGATGAGAGTTTAACATGGCCATCAACTGCTGGTACTGATCGGGATTCAAGAGAGAAAAGGCGGGAAAATATGTATTCTATTTCTGGAAAATGAAAACTGTCTCTACAAAGTGCCTAGCTGCCTATATAAATAACAGAATGACAGCTGGTGCCAGCTGTTAGTACATTGTGTAAAATATCTAATATCTAGCACTATAAGGATCCGAGAGAGAGAGATTTAGAGATGGTACGGTTATTAATACAATAACACAATTCCAAACAAGAAGGTATTAGCCAATTTCAAAGTGCTATTAGGCAGGACTATATGGTACAATTAGCAAAATTTTAGCTTTCTTCCTTTGGGTACCGTCTGGTCTACCATACCAAACTCGCTACACAAGCCTAGTCCATTTTCTTGTAATTTAGCCTAGAGATGAACTTTTTTAAGAAATCTAAGAAATAGAAGACCCTTTTCCTGGAAATTTTCCTCCACAAACTTATGCTAAAATCCCAAACTAACACGAATGTTCCTGGATGATGATTGATGACTCTAACAGAAGCTCTAATGAGGACATTCGATATTTATTTATTTTATTTTCTAGTTAAACTTTATTTATTATGACTCTTATTTAGAGAATTGGACTTGTATGGGTTCGGGCCCAGTCTCGTTAGGGTTTGCTTTACTATTTAAACCTATTTTGCATTGTAATTTTTCAGTTGATGAATGAATAATATTTTGGTGGCTTGTGGCGAAATTCCCCCTCTTTCCTGTTATTCTTCCCCTTCCCCTATTTTCTTCTTTTTCCTGATTCATTGATTTTCACTTTCTTCATTAATTTTGTCTATTGGTGCTACATTAAATTTGGTATCAGAGCTTAAACTTGGGTAATCTCTCATCTACAATCCAAAAATTTCTTCCTACTTCCTTCCCAAAAAAAAAAAAATTGTTGGAACAGCACAATTGAAGAAGATTTAGCGTAAGAGTAGCAGTTTTCATTTTTTTTCAGTTTTCTTTCTTTGAAAAAAAAAAGAGCATTACTGCTCACGGGTACTGTTCATCCGGAAAAAAAAGTACTACCATTTTAATACTTTCATCAGTTTAAAAAAAAAAAGAGAGAGAATATTTTTTTACATTATTGTTGCTCTCTTGCTGCTTCCAACAAACCCTAACCCATTTATTTCATCCAAAATTAACCATCCCATAACCTAGCCCCAATGCCGTACCTGTGTACCGCAAGGCCTGAGGCGAACTTCAAATTTTGGGCCCCTAAATCGTAGTAACTAGTAAGCAATCAATGTTTTCATTTATAAGAGTTTTGCAGAACTAAATATGTTAACGTGAAATCAACGAAAAAGCAACAAATGAAATGAAATATTCAATGACTTGGAATTTGTATATGTACCTGTGAATATATTCTTTGGGCTGCTTCTAGTGGGGACATCTCATCATCCAATGTATTAACCAGTTCCAAAACCTCTGGCGCGTCCACAAATTGCACAAATCTTAACAAAAGAATCACCATTCACTATTATCTTGAAATTTGATAATTTGAATATATTCTGTAACAAGTTGCAAATTGCAATACCTCTCAAGTGTTCCCTTCGTGAACCGCATCTCAGAATTTTTACGTCTTCCAATTCAAGTTTAACTAACTATGCAGCTGAGCTAATGCAACCTGTACCTTTGCTATCTTCAAATGTGCCACAAATGGTTTAACCAATCTTGATGCCAGTTTCTCTGTGTTTCCGTTGCTAGAAACAACCCATTCACATCTAGCCAATAGGAACTAAAGATAAATGACTGAAAACATAACATTTAGCCACTTATTAAAAATCGACATCCAATGTAATTAACTAGACATCCTCACCATGAGTACTTTGTTGACAAAAGGAATTCAGCATAATCCAGGGGCATTTCCAATTTCATTTTCACGACATTCAAATCATTCAAGCTTATCTTTGGCTTCCTTTACATACGTTCTTCAATGCAGAACATATAGAATTTTACTTACTCTTGTGAGCAAAAATCTAGCCCTACCTACAACCTACATTACGCCGATGAATTTGGTTTCAAGTTATCAACCAAAATAACTTACTAAAAACCAGTAAAAAATTCCAAAAGTATACATGGAAAGTAAATTTCTGTTGAATAAAATCTCAATTCAGCAATGTACCTCAAATAGAACTATAACAATAAAGCAAATTAATCCAAATTAACATAAAATCGAAATTAATTCAGATCTGCTTTAAAAACATAACTTCAAATGACACCCCCAACATAAGCTCAACCCCAAATAATGTGAATGTGTATTTTAACAATAAACAAAACTACAGAAACAATCAAAATCAAAATTCAGTAATTTATGACAAAATTTGAGATGATAGCCAATAAATTGACCTTGGCAATATCAGTGCAATATCTTCAAAACCCAGCCCAATCATCGGATTCAAGTTCAGACCATACACACATTTCAATCCCTTATTCTCTAGCTAATAGTATGAGGGTTTTAGACACCGCAGTGTCAGTGTTTGTACAAGGTTAACTTTCTTCTTAACATTATTCATGGCAAATCAAGAAAGTTACAGAATGGAATCGAAGAGTTAATCTCAATAATTGCCACTAAAGATTAGTTTAAATTTTATATTTCAAAAATAAAACAATAGTGACCTTAGGTGTCTGTATGATTCCAACCAGCGACTGCGACATGGAAGAAGCTGCAGAAAGGGGCTGAAATTTCTTGGCTTCTGCATTAAAGAGAGAGTGAGATTGTGAGAATGAGAGTTGAGAGATGTCTAGAGTTGGGTTCGCACCCTAGATTTTGATTTCTCGGACTGGCTGGAAGTTCTTATTTCTTGAGTGAGGGAAAAAAAGAATAAACAGTAAAAAAAAAAATTTGGGCCCCTTAAAAATCTGGGCCTGAGGCGCAGGCCTCTTGGGCCTCCCATCAGGTCCGGCCTTGTCTAACCCATTCTTTTATCAAAACACTTGAACCATAAACTATTAGCCCAAATTAATCAATTACCAATTTTCTTTCTCCCAACAAGACAGCAGCCCATTTCCAGCCCACATCCCAACCATCCATAGTAGAAGCCCGTCCAATCTGATTTACCCCTAGCCCAAATTGACCCATCATTTTCTCACTCTCCACCCCGCCTTTCCCCCAGCATTATACATCAAAAACAAACCACAACCCACCGTGGAAGAACAACTCACAGCCACCAGCACTTATTTCCTCCTACGCACAAATATTGCAGTCAACCCATAAATACATACATACACCATACTCAATTGACCCAGTCACTACTTTCATATAGCCACTCATATCACAGTCAACAACCACTTCTGCCTTATACCTCTCACCACAACAGAGGGACAATCACCACAAATTAAGTACATTGCTGCTTGACAGTTGCACTTGGAGGGATTTTTGAAGGAAAGCCTCCTGAAGCGAAGGAAAGGACGCAATAATATTCGGAACCCACTTGTCAACATTTCGAGCAACTAAACGACAGGGAGTTCTTGATCTCTTTTTATTATTGGTTTATATTGGTTCTTCATCTTAAAGTCGCATATTTTATATTATTTGTGCTGCTGTTATAATGATAATTGTAGCCTTTAAACCCACTAGATCGGAATTCACCAATTAGCTCCCATTTTACCTCGGGATATCCCTTGCCTTTTATTTTATCGGCATTAGCATTATTAGCTTGCTAAGTTGGGACCTACGTAATCCCATTTTTAGGTAAAAAAAAATTAAGAAAAAAATACTAAATAAAAAAATAAAAATTCAAATTGCTATTTTCCCTGTTGGCACTTGTTGTTTGTTGATCTCAGTCGTGCACTTCAATTGGCTAAGGTTACTTTGTATGCATTTGCATAGTGGTCGCGTTACGACTTCTAGTTCTAGTAACCTTGCCATGGATCCGTCCCAAATTGAGGCCCTCACCTGACAGTTGGCACAATTACAAAATCAATTAACGGCTATACAAACTGAGGTACCTGCTACTCGTGAGGAGAATAGAGCCCTAGCCGCTAAGTTAAACACTCTTGATCCAACCCCATATTTGACTGAAGCTGAAAACTTTGAAGCTTCCATTAATAGACCTTATCATCGTCCACAAGGCGGTTAACACCACGCCAGACATGATCGTAGGAATGGAAATCAGGCTCGTGGACGAGAGTATGAATATCACCATCATGGTACACAATCTCCTCTTCGCCATGAGGGGCGCCTCTTTCGACACATTAAGTTAGTTGCCCTACATTTGACGGTTATTTAGATCCTAGAGTATTCAATCAATGGGTTGGAGATGTAGATCGCTTATTTGCCTTGTATAGGGTCCCGGAAGATCGAATGGTACAATTTGTCAGTCTGAAATTGACTGGCACCGATCAACTCTTTTGGGAAAGTGTTGAGGACATCCTGGAGAGGCGTCATGCTCCCCGGTTGGGAGCTGGGATGAAATGAAGCGTCGCCTTCAAGAAAAATATTTACCTCAATCTTATGGGAGTAAGTTGCTGGATCAATAGAATGCACTTATGCAAGGCAATCGACCTGTAACCGAATACATTGCTCAGTTTGATGAGTTTCGAATGAAATGTCAGATCGTTGAGGATGAGGTCATGACCTTGAGTAGGTTTAAGCAAGGCCTAAGTGATGATCTTAAATGTGAGCTCGTCCTTAGAGGCATCACCAGCCTTGACCACGCCTACTCTTTCATTTGAGATTACGAGTTAGTGACTAGGACACCGTATAGAACTCATAGTGACACCCGCACTACAACCTCTTGGTTGGCCTAGAGTCAGTGTTGTTCGTTGCACTCTTACCCAACCTAAGGATGTCGATGATTGGCATCGTCATGCCATCTTCCACACTTATATCAAGATCAATAATAAGGCCTGTAAAGTTATTGTGGATAGTGGTAGCTGTATTAATGCGGTGCCGATGGCTACTGGATCCTGTCTTGGGTTAAAGCCAGTTCATCACCCTCAACCGTACAGCGTCTCCTGGGTTGATACCTCTTCTATAGCTATCAAAGAGCATTGTCTAGTCTCTATCCAGTTCCTCGAGTATAAGGATCATATATGGTGTGACATCATTTCAATGGATGTCGGGCACATCATTCTGGGATGACCTTGGTTATTTGACCTAGATGTAACCATCTATGGTCGATTCAATTCCTACTCTTTCGTGTCTAATGGAAAGAAGATTCAACTTAACGCACTGCCCCCAAAAACCTATTAGCTCACACGAAATAAAGAAAAGTATGGAACGAAAAGGATTGCATATCATTAGCCCTACGGAGTTTGAGCACTCACTTGTTAGTGACTCAGTGGTGTTCGCTGTTGTCACTATGGAGATTTCATTGAACTCCGCAACAGAGAGCCCTGCTGAAGTTCACTCATTTCTTCAAGAGTTTTGGGATGTATTCCTGGAGGACCTACCTGAAGAATTACCTTCCCTGTGGGACATTCAGCATGGCATAGATTTCGTCCCTAGGGTATCCTTTCCAAATTTGCCTCATTATAGGATGAATCCTACCGAGCACGCCGAACTCCAAAGGAAAGTAGATGAACTCCTTCAAAAGGGGTTCATTCGTGAGAGTTTAAGCCCTTGTACAGTTTTCGCCCTGTTGACCCCTAAAAAGGATGGTTCTTGGAGAATGTGTGTGGATAGTCGTGCCATTAATAGGATCAAGGTAAAGTATCATTTTCCTATTCCTAGACTTGACGATTTGCTAAATATGATGGTTGGTGCTACAATCTTTTCGAAGATTGATCTGAAGAGTGGATTCCATCAGATTAAAATCCGTCCAGGTAATGAGTGGAAGACCACCTTTAAAAAGAAAGATGGTCTTTATGAATGGATGATCATGCCTTTTGAGCTAAGCAACGCGCCGAGCACCTTTATGCGAGTAATGACATAAACTCTTCAACCTTTTCATTGGTAAGTTTCTTGTTGTCTACTTTGATGATATTCTCATCTATAGTAAGACTAAGGAGTAACACCGTGACCATCTAACACAAGTTTGTTCTACCCTACATGCAACTAATCTGTATACTAACGTCAAGAAGTGCTCTTTCTTCACCGATACAGTCATTTTCCTAGGATTCATTGTCTCTTTGACGGGGGTATCTGCTGACCCTGCCAAGATTCAGGCGATTCTTGACTGGTCTGAACCTAAGACTTTTCATGACGTCAGGAGCTTTCACGGCTTAACTACATTTTACCGTCGCTTTATTAAGGGGTTTATCACCATTATAATGGCTATTACGGAGTGCATAAAGAAATGAGAGTTTCATTGGACATAAGAAGCGGCTAAGGTCTTTAAGTTGGTCAAGAACCGAATGATAGAGGCTCTTGTCATGCGTCTTCCCGATTTTTCCAAAGTCTTTGAGGTCGAGTGTGATGCTTCCAAGACGGGTATAGGCAGAATCCTGAGTCAGAATCGTCACCTTATTGCCTACTTCAGCGAGAAGTTAAATGAGGCCAAACAACGGTATTCGAGTTATGATAAGGAATTGTATGTGGTTGTCTAGGCTTTGCGCTATTGGCTCCACTATTTTTTACCCTAGGAGTTTGTTCTTTATTCGGATCACGAGGCCCTCCGTTA